GTGCCTGTGTGTGTGTGTGTGTGTGTGCGTGTTTCTTCTGTAAGCTGAAAGACGCGAAAAATTATTGAAATATCTATTGCTCCAAGGGTTCAGGGGATCTCGTAGTCGAGTAGTCTCGACTAGAGCTTTCTTACTTGTTTTATTTTAAAGTACTTAAATTCAGAAAATTAAATCTTTCTAATAAAATTCAATAATTATATATTTCAGATTGTTTCACTGTCGTGAAGGTGGAGCTATTTTTGTTCCGCCCAACAAATGTGCGAGTGATCGCAGGTTTGCAGATACAGAAGGCAGCTATTCTTTTAGTGCGGTAACACCCGATACAAACGCTATAAAATTTGGACACGTTGATTGTCCTTCAGTGCTGGGAGCTGTACCACCGTTAGGTAAACTATTTAGAAACAATTGAACTTGGACACTAAAACGATAATAAAACGATACTTAGCATTCACTTTTTTTTTTGTCCTTTATTATTAGTAATAAAAGATTTAGATGAATTGGAAGCCATATGCGGAAAATTTAAAGGAATTCAGGGACATCACAATTCCTGCTATTTAGACGCAACATTGTTTTCAATGTTTACTTTCACTAGTGTATTTGATTCCATTTTATACAGAAGGCCAAACTCTGAGGTAAATAAAATAAAACATAAAAATAAATATTTTTAATCATTATTATATTGATTTCAGGATATTTCACATTATAGTGCTGTACAGAGTGTGTTACGTGATGAAATAGTTAATCCATTACGAAAAAATGTTTTTGTGCGCGCTGACCGTGTCATGAAACTGCGAAATTTTTTGGACCAACTTAGTTCTGTAAGTGGTTTAACCAGTGAGGAAAAAGATCCAGAAGAGTTTTTAAATAGTTTATTATCTCAAATCATGAGAGTGGAACCATTTTTAAAAGTATGTTTTTCAATCATAAAAGCAGAATATAACGCAATTTCATGTGCAGTCTTTTTTTTTAGCTGAGCTCTGGGCAAGATTCTTATTTCTATCAACTATTTGTAGAGAAAGATGAGCGATTGACGTTTCCAACAGTACAACAACTGTTTGAACAAAGCTTTCATTCATCCGACATAAAATTAAAAGAGGTTCCGTCATGTCTAATTATTCAAATGCCACGGTTTGGAAAGAGCTATAAAATGTATCCTCGCATTCTACCCTCTCAAGTGCTGGATATAACAGATATCATTGAAGATTGTAAGTTATTAACGAATGTGTGTCTTTTTAAAAAATCAAAGCAGACCCAACTAGTCAGAGTTGAAATTGGTCGAACATGTTTAACTTGGAGAAAAACCGTAATCGTGATCAGGGCGACGAGCTCAGTCGATTTAGTCTGTCAGTCTGTCTGTCCGTTCGTCCATATGTATGAACGCGTCGATCTCATTAAAAATCGATAACTCATCCCGATCATTTTTTATCGATGAAAAACCTTATCGAAAACCAKTTATAAAATTATATCTTCTACACCTTTATTGCTAGCGTCTCCAAATTTGTAATGTATGCTTATATGCAATTTATGCAATTTCGGTTTTTGATAAAATTTACCCCCCACCTCTATGTCCACCCCCTCACCCTCACTTTTGTAAAAGGCGTATTTCAAATACTAGAGACATGTGCTTTGGCAAATACATGCATATCCATGTTATAATCATAATCTGAAAGATTATCATCATGAAGATCGCATGTCCACAAAAAAAGTTATTAAATAATTAAGTTCTCATAGCAAGCACACACTTTAGCCCATGCGTGTTTATGCTTATGTGTGTATGTGTTTGTGTATGTGTGTGTGTATGTGTGTGTGTGCGTGCGTGCGTGTGTGTGTTTGTGTGTGCGTGTGTGTGCGTGTTTCTTGTGTAAGCTGAAAGACGCGAAAAATTATTGAAATAGCTATTACTCCAAGGGTTTTGGGGATCTCGTAGTCGAGCAGAGTCGACTAGAGCTTTCTTACTTGTTTTTTTTTTTTTTATTTGTAATTTACCCCCACCCTATATCCGCCCCCTCACCACTATATTTGTAAAATGCGTATTTAAAATACTAGAAACTTGTGCTTTGGCAGATTCACATACTTTGATGTTATAATCACGATCTGAAAATTTTCCACACTGCAACCAGTGCGTGTTTATGCTTGCATCCATATGCTTTTCTGTGTGTTTTTTATGTAAGCAGAAAGAAGAATTATTGTGAAATATCAATTCTTCGAAAAGTGCAGGGGATTTCGGAGTCGAGCAATCTCGACTAGAGCGCTCTTACTTTTTGTATTTTATAACAATGTATATATTTTTTATATTTATAAGCCCCTCGACAGTGTTCCATTTGTGGGAAACTTGCTGAATTTGAATGTCGAGAATGTTTTGGTAGCTTGCAGGTTGGTTCTGGTCTCGAGTGTACAGCTTTCTGCCAAAAATGTCTTAAAACAGTACATACGCATGGAAAAAGGTAGGTTCCTAAAAAACCAATTATACTATATATATTTAAATTATATTTTTATATTCGCAGAGTAAATCATGAAACAAAGAAATTGTCTGTACCAATAGACTTCAAAGTAATGGCTGATAACATGGTTTTACCCAGTCTTTATATGGAGCTATTTGCTGTTGTATGCATAGAAACTTCTCATTACGTAGCATTTGTGAAAACGGGCTCTGGACCAGATGCTCCTTGGTGTTTTTTTGATTCAATGGCGGACAGAAAAGGTAAATTATTTCCTTTAATTTTCATTTAATTAACATTATCGTATAACAGTTGACTGATATTTTTTTGAAGATGCAGGTCCTTCTCTTATCGATTATCATAAGAGGTTCTGTAAAACAATTTGAATGAGTTATTTCAGTATAAGTATTAGACAGTGCTCGACAAGTAAATACGCTGATTACCGACCTATATGCGTTTTCTAATATACTCAATAGCTTGTAATTAAACAGTGCTCTAGCAAACTCAACTCTCTATGAACGCTTTCACTCAAAACTTATCTCATATATTTTTATACCCTGAACCCATTGAAAATGGGAAATCAGGGTATAATGGTTTTGTGAAAAGAATGTAACAGGCAGAAGGAATCGCAGACCTCATAAAGTATATATATTCTTGATCAGGACGGATCTCAGAAGATGTAAGAGCCAGAGAGCTGAAATTTGGCATGCATACTCGTGTATACYATAGGCAGTACAAGYTTRYYWTRTTTTTTCGATAACTCATCCGATAACTTTTTTATCAAGAATAATCGAAAAATCGACATTGTTTTTTCAGCCTAATTTGAACACTTTTAGACCTGGAGACTTCAAATTCGCGTTGTATATAAAGTTAATGGATACAATGTTACATGTTGTACATACATGTTGTAATTTAATAGAGACTTGTGCTTTAAAATGTACACACACTTTAACCATATGATTACGCTCTGAATGTTTCATTAAGATTGTATGTCTACAAAAGAAATTAATCAACAAATATTTATTTATTTATTTATCTTAGAGTTAGAGTTAATTAAAATTAAAACTAACTTAAATTTTTAAAGCGCTGGCTGCATGGGCCTTCGGCTTNTTGTCTGCAGTGTTTGTTGTTTGGTGGGCAGCGTTTGATTGTTTTTTAAATATTTTTTTAACTTCTGTTACCTTTTGTGGTTTTAATTCTTGTAATATATCGTTTTCGTCTATGTCCCTTAGTTCGTTGCAATAGATAACTCCTTTTGTGAAATTTAATGTTTTGTGTTCTGATGCGATAATGTTGAAGTCTGTCATTTTAGTTAGCTTTAATAGTTTTATAGCTTGCAGTTTGTTTTTGGTCTTTACTAGCAGGGAGCCGTCTCTTGTTTTTTTGCAAGATTCGACTTCACCTCCGCAAGTGTAGTYTATTGTTTTTTTGATTATAAAGGGAGACACTTTTTCGAATGTGCAGTTATCATCGCGTTTTAGTATTATATATTTCGGTTCGCCCAGTTATGTGTTGTTGTTTCTGTTGATTTTGTGTATGTCTGGTGGATCGAGCATGTTTGTTGTTGTTGGGCTGAAGCCCGGTTTAACGGTTTGCAACGTGCGATTTGTTTTTGTCTTTGTTTTCTTTTGTGTTTGAATTTTGTTTGAAGAGTTTTACTGTTACTTTTAGATGCACTGGCGTTAAGCGAGGTTTAATGTATTGCGACACGTCTTATCTCTGCGGGAGTTGAGGTGTGACTGTAATCAACAAATAAATTTTCATAATATTACCTACATTGCAGTTAGCAGAGCGCGTGCTTATAAGTGCATGTGTATGTATGTGTGCATAAAAGAAATCCAGAATGATTAGAATATCAGCTTGGAGGGTTCAGGGTATCTCTTAGTCGAGCAGTCTCGACTAGAGCCTTCTTACTTGTTTGAATTTTTTATTGGAAGGCACGATATATGTACTATGATTACATCTTGCAAATATTTAGTCAATGTGTGAAAGAGTTCATATTTCAATAAAATTTTTTACTATAATCCAAAAACCTCAATAAAAGCCATTGAAGCTATTAAACAAACTTGTTGGCTTAAGGGGGCTAACCACAGAAGAATTTGTTACACGAACATGTTGTATTCGAATGTGGATAGGAGTGCTCGTAGGAACATTTTGTTCGCCTACAAATAGAAATGTTTCTATCTTACGGGTGTTCGTGCAAACATGTTCGGCAATGGATTCGAGTGTTCGCACGAACATCATTTCTAGAAACAATGAACCGAAAATTGGGCAACAAATCATGGGACAAATTATAATTAAAATATAAAGGTGTCCAAGAAAACGCCACAATGTCGTCAAAGCAAAAGTAAATTGATGGACGCTTCATACAGGCGCGAACTGGAAAAAATAAAAGGAAACGCAAAGTCAGGTGCTTTCTTTTGTTTTAAATAAACATTCATTGCCATTAAGATTTTGTTTTCTTCCGCTGGCATGCTCACAGTCCAAAATTTGTTTTAGAATTATGATCGCGAACATGTTCGTGAAAATGTTCGCATAGTTAGTTGGCAAACTCGGCGAACATGTTCGTGTAACAAATTCGTCTGGATAGCCCCCTTTATTGCAAAGAACACACGAAAAGCGTTCTATATGAATTTAGAGTTCGTCGATGGCATTATAGCGGGAAAGTTTTTCGCAACTAATTAATCGAGCAGTGAAATGACTCTGCGGCTTGAGGCGATGCACGTTGCATCGTCTTTAAAGTGGGTGTTTGGAAGTCGCCGATCTGGAGTGTTTTAGTATCGTTGTCTTTTTTTAGAAACACTCCATTCGATTGCAAAACTGTGAGCTGGAATTACGTTTTAATCAAATTTTTTATTATACCCTGAACGAATTGAAAATGGGAAATCAGGGTATAATGGTTTTGTGGAATGTATGTAACAGGCAGAAGGAATCATCGCAGATCCCATAAAGTATATATATTCTTGATCAGGACGACGAGCTGAATCGATACAGCCTTGTCCGTCAGACCGTTCGTCCGTCCGTCCGTATGAACGCCTAGATAAATTGAAATATACCTAGAGACAAAGATTTTTAATTTGCTTTGTAGCATATGTATTTAATAAGTAAATTCTCATAGAATTGCCACAATGCAAGTCCAAGCGCTTCGCTGCTTACTGCAGTTAGAGAGAAAGAGAGAGAGAGAGAGAGAGAGCGTGCTTATACGTGCAGAATGATTAGAATATCAGCTTTGAGAATTTAGGGTATTATTTTTTTTTCTAGTCTCGAGTATGTTCAGCTATTGGGCAGAGGCAACGCAAATTTGCTTGTAAAGCGATCATTAACAGATGCAAGGCATTTCAAAGCATACTAGTGCATCTTCATATTGTAAATTTGTGTATTTTTATAAGCTTGTGATCCACGAATATGAATAAATGGCACAACTCAATTTACTTAATTATTTAAATATTTTTGTATTTGTTTTATAAATAAAAAATTCACATTAAAATTAAAGGAACCGAGTTAAGAATAAAAAATTAATTTTATTTAACTTTTCTTTTTTATTAGGTGAAAAAAACGGGTATAATATACCGGAAATGATATCCGTTCCTGAAATACCTCAGTGGCTATCTGATGAGGGGGCTAAACACATTAATGAAAGGTCCACAAATGACAAGGCCTTACCCGAACATGCTAAACGTCTCTTTTGTGATGCATATATGTGTATGTACCAAAGCACAGATGTCATGATGTACCACTAAATAGGTATTTGCCATTAAGTTTTAAAATATTGTAGCATATTAAACTAAAAAAATATTTAGTTTATTTATAGTCATGGAATTCAATTCAATTCAAGTTTACTGTTTTTGTAGTACCTATAAGAAAAAAATATTGCAAAAATCTGGATCTAATAACAACAATGTGAATCTGTATTTGTTTTTATATCCTGAAATGAAACGAAACTAATTACAAATGTTTTTTTTTTCCATTTACTTGATTACCTTCACAAATGAAGATTTAAAATTTACTGTCAGGTATATGTAATGAATACTAAAAAATAAAACAAAAGAAATTAATACAGTTATTTTAATTTTGATATTTTGAAATGTTGTTAACCAAACGAAAATTCGCCCATGCTGCCAGATGCAACCGTCACTTGGTGTAGTGATTTACCAATCATACATATTCGATTTATTTTTAAGATTCTTTAATAATTACTTTGTAAGTTTCCCTTAAATGTTTGTGACCACACATGACCGTTAATTGGGGCATGAGTTGAACTGTCAAATAAAGTACCCTTACCGGTTTGGTGGTATTATTATTATAGGTTTTGTCCTTTCTACCAATATAACCTTTAATAGTTTACCTTTAAATAGACTCCAGTTTTGACAATATCTTTACATAATTAGAACTACTACTACTCTTCATGCATTCACAATCAACTTAACAACAGCCCTCGTGGCTTTTCATTCCATGCCTCCAATTATATACTTTTAGACTTATATCTTTGTATTTAGTAATCCAGTTCTGTACGCGCCATTTAGTAATAGTCACACATTGCTTCAGCACTTGCCGATAAAGTCAATTAATTGCAATACCTTGATACAATGCAATGTAAGAAAGAAAGTGAACTCTCTAATCTAATCGTCCTATAAATTTCTCCAGTTTGGTCGAGCAGCAAAAGCTGTTGGACATTGGATAACCCTAGGATATCGCGGGATCAAAGCCAAAAATTTAACTCCTGTGCCTCAGCTGTAATTTAGGCTATTTTATGGGAGCTTATGCTGAATAACTTTTCTTGTAGATGAGTCTCAATTGAGTCTCCAATATTTCACAGACGTTTTTGAGAGGAATGGTCTTAATTTGGGGCGTTATTGAAAATATGACTATAACAAGTAAGAAAACTCTAGTCGAGAGTGCTCGACTAGATACTACCCTGAACCCAACAAATAAAAATGCCCATTTAGTATGGTTGAAATTTCAATTTCGATGTATTTAAAAATATAAATAAAATACCAAACTCATTTAATAAAATATAAAAATATTTTGAAACAATTAAAAAAATTAACATCAGTTGCATCGATCGGGATTCGAACCGCGACTTCTCGATCGAGCGTCATGCAGCTAACACACTAGGCCACCTCACTCCTGCTAGTGGCGCTGGCAAAACTCAAATAGATTCACTGCTGCAGCGCCATCTACCAAAACTAAACGAAACTAACTGCTGATGTGATTCTAAGAATCTGCTAGAATAACCAAACTATTAAAAACGCACATAAAGTATAGTTAAAATTTCAATTTCGGTGTATTTAAAAATATAAATTAAATAGAAAACTCATTTATGAAAATATAAAAATATTTTGAAACAATTAAAAAAAA